GAAACCTAATCACGTCTTCCTAGACATTCCCTAATCTACTTACATATCTGGGGTTTCAAATGAGTAGTTTCTAGGTATGATCTGATGATTTTTCATACGTGGCCCAAAGCTTCTTACAGCATTGCTGCTCTGTTCCCTCTCTCCGGAAAACAACAACAAACAGACAAAAGGGGAGTCTTGTTTTAATTTCAAAAAGTTCTAGCCTTCCCATTGGCTCTTTGGCCAGGTACCCACTCATTTCCTTTTACCTGTGCATCGCAGTGACTCTTAACGCTTTACAGGTAAAGCAAGTAGAGAACAGCTACTAAGAGGGATTTTATAGCTAGCTGGCTGGCTGGGTGTCCATAAAAGGGAGCTACCCCTCCCCTGTTCATTTATCACAGCACCATTGGTCCTCTCTGTACTGAACAGATGATGGAAGACTGACTGTTCATTTGGGGCAGAGACCTACTATCTAAGATAGACCCCACAGACGTGCACACAGTCTTTCATCCCTGTCTTTCATCGTGAGTGGGGAGACAATGGGAAGGGAGTCCAGCTTTTAGAGGTAGTCATTTGCAAAGAAAGCGGGTGGTACAAGCAATTTATTTCTCATTTCTTGGTGCAGGTGAGTGTTTTTGCTCTGTTTTGTTCATAAATTAGCAGATACCACAGTGGAACTAGAATGCTTCATAGGGAGATGGTTGGCGGAAAGTGAGTTTTGAGGGAGAACACTTAAGGCACAGGTAGAGGCAGACGTTTCCTTCAAGGGGGTAGCATGAAAAAGGCATTCCCAGAGGAACAGGCAGAGTATGGTGCATGAGGGAGGAGTGGATGGGAATAAGAGTGGAGATATAGGCAGTGCTATTAGCCCATGTAGAGTGCAATGTCCTCAGAGAAAACTGGTGACTGCCCTCCAGTGTAGATAAGAACAGGAATCACTGTTTAAACAAGTGAGGCTGTCTAATTGCAATGTAGAGACCAGACCCATCAGCAGTGTTACTGTGCAGCAGGAGGAACTTTCCCTAGGGGGAGCACTGGCATTTCTGTAGTTGTCCCAACCCCCAGTTGACACTCACCATATCAGCTCCTCAT